TAAAATGTACGTACCTGGAATGAACGTACATTGCCACGTCCCAGGGACTTACCGGGGACGTACAGAGCGTTGGAAAATGTACGTCCCCGGTACGTACATAGTACCACCTGTACATACTTGTACGTACCAGGGACCTGACGTTCGTCCCAACATTACGTACCAGGTACGTACATAGTATGTACCGTGGCTGTATGGGTAATCCATTTTCTAAACCATACTCTTCTGTTAGGTGTAGTTTGTTAGAAAATTAAATTTTTGCTGTGCTTTCTGTTAATTCTATTGCCAGAATCTTGACATTTTGAATCAAGCAACAGAAGCTTTTTGACACGAAATGCGTAAACTCGGTATATGCTTTCAAGTCAGTTGAATTCACGTGACTTGATCAACTCACGTGACTCCTGTAAACGCGCCTTAATAATAGACAGAGATTTGGAGAAAAAATGACTTTTTTTAATTACAGACTACTTATTTCAAAATACAATTTGCTCTACAATTCTACTTATTAAAATACTTACTGTCTTAAATGGACTATTTAGATTTACTTACTAATCGAAAGAGTAGATCATTCTTTTATAGTTATTATGATATTATAATTATTATTTGAATAGGTGCTTTTATCTTGGTTTTACATGATATCTTGCAAATTTTTGTAGCGGAATACCTATTATATTACCATCAGAGCCAATTCATACAGCAGTTGACTGAAAATTTAACTTGAGATAATCAAGTTTAGAATCAAAACATTCAAAGCAGTCAAAATAATAAAAAAAACCGGAGAATCGCCAAAAAAGTTGAGACCAAAGCAGATAGATAGTTACCGATAGCTGTTGAACACTTACAATTAATAATGAAGTTTCAGTTAGATTAGGTCAGTCTTCTTTGTCAGTCATTGAAAGTCGCTTGGAAGTAAAATGATATGTTGGCAGTACATTTTTTACCCAACATTACCTTGCCTTAACTAACATTTTTTACAAAGGTTTGTCTAAAAAATGTCTATATCTATATGGCGGATTCATCTCTCCAAAAAATCCTCTATGGGTATTTCGCCACCGCAAGAAAATCTACAAAACAAAATAGTTATTTTTTGTAAACACTTCTGAGTTAATCCCAAACGGAAACTACTTGTCAGAAGTTAGGTTTAAAAAAATGCTTAACGTTTCGGAAAGTTTATCTCTTTCCGTCGTCGGAAGCAAGAAAATACAAAGAATAAAGAAAAAACATATTTAAAATATTTAAATTCAACTAATCGAGAACACTTTAGTTTTTTAATAATGCCAAAATTATAAAGAAAGAAGCGATAGCCTCTAAAAGAAAAATAAAAGAGGCTTTTTTAATACAATCTAATAAAAATAAATGTATTGCTCATACATCTGTAGATGTTAGCAATCTATGGCAATCCCTTCTTTGATTTTAAAGAACATAACATAAATAAACATAACATACCTACGTAAAAATTAAAAATAATCATACAGAAAGTTTGGAGCTTTTTGGTTTTACCTTATTAAGTAATTGTTATCAGGTAGTAATTATAAATAAATAAATAAATAAATGGCCTTTATTGTCAAAAAATTTTTCAATTTGTAGACAAAGGTAAACTAACAAACAAAGTAAATACAAGGTACACAAACAAACAAACAAAAGATAATACAAAACATTATACAAATAATATTGTCAGTCTTATTGTTAAAATAAACATTTATAAATGTTTACAATGTCAAAGAACAAAAAAATAAAAATAATATTCAAAAATATTTAGCTAGTTTATAGTAAAATATCCATGACCTCTAAATAAACTCATTTCGATGTCATTAGTAAATATAGCAATAGCAAACATTAGACCAGTGTTTACAAGATCAAATTTGATTTTCAAAATATAATTCATTTACGGCGTAGAAAGCCTTGTCTAGCAAATAAGAGTTCAATGCTTTGCGAAATGAAAAAAATGATGTTATGGATTTGATTTCAAATGGCAGGTGATGAAACCGCCCCTTAATTTTTAATAAAACCCCTTAATTTTTAATTAAAAATTTCAGCTGCATGGCATTTCTTGAGAAGCTGATACATGTTTACGTATTAGGCAAACGGATTCAAATATAAATAAGGAAGGAAGAGTCAATATTTTTAATTCTTTAAAAAAGTCCCGGCAATGAGTTCTGCTGTTTAGTCCCAGTGAATATCGAACAGCTCTCTTCTGGAGCTTGAAAATGCGGTCAAATTGAGTCGCACAACACGTACCCCAGAATGGAAGGGCATACCTGAGGTGCGATTCAAAAAGTGCATAATAAACAATTCTAGCCACTGACAAGTTAAGCTCCTTAGAAACAGACCTTAATGCAAAACAGGCAGAGCTCAATTTTTTCGACAAAGCTTCGATATGTATGTCCCATTTCAGAGAATTGTCCACAACGAGCCCTAAGAATTTTACAGATTTTACGACGTCAATGGTGGTGTTGTTAAGCACAAAAGGCTGCAACGAGTTTTTATACGACAAAGCTTTAGTTTTAGAAATGTTGAGACTGAGGAGGTTCGAATCGCACCAAGATTTAATGGTGATTAAGTCATTTGATATAATCCTATGAAGTGCCGTGATGTCCTTGTTGCTCCAAGTGAAGCTAGTGTCGTTCGCAAAAAGACATATTTTGCCACTGATGTTTATGTTAGCAATGTCGTTAATAAATAGAAGAAACAAAATAGGGCCTAGTACTGACCCTTATATTTGCTGTAGAATGATGGTTGTTTAGGCTGGAGTAAACTTTATTAAGGAGGGAAAACATAGCATCATTTATAGACTTAATGCTTAGAAATCCAAATTGATATTCAGTAAGTATTTTGTACTTAAACAGAAAAGATACCAGCCTTCTTTTAACCAACCTTTCTATAATCTTAGATAGCGTTGGAAGGAGTGCAATTGGGCGATAGTTAGAAGCTTCATCTTTGTCTCCTCCTTTATGCAGAGGAATGATTATTGCCGTCTTTTTGGACACATTTTGGAAAAATACCATTTTGGAACGACATGTTTATTAAAGTTGTTATGTGATTCAGAGTGCTTTCTGCGCAAATTCGAAAACATTTTTAAAGTTAGCCCGTCGGTCCTGCGAAGCTCTTCTAAAACTACGGGCGAAAAAAAGAAACTGTGTAAGTTTACATTATCATGAGAGAGATAAGAAAGTGGATAATGAGGAGGACATATGGTATTAGTTAAGTTTTTCGCTACATAGTAATCGTTAAGGTTCTCAGGTGAGGTAGAGATATTGCTAGACGAAGAAAAGCTTTGTTTCTCAATTCATTCACAATATACCATGTTTCTTTAGCAACATTACCAGAATTGACTATTCTCCTATTATAATAAAGGTCCTTAGCGGCTTTTATAATCTTATGATAAAATTTTCTGTATAGTTTTACGTAATTGTGGAAGAAGATACTGTCTGAGAATTTTTTTAAGTGAGATAATGAACGCATATTTTTAGAAGATATGCGTAGACCTTTAGTGGTCAAAAGTTTATTATGCTTATTTTTTATAGGCCTAAGAGGAAAGGATTTGAACGCTAGACTGGTTAATGTTTTTACGAAAATAAAAAATTCGGTGTCGACATCATAAGAGCTAGTATCCCAGTTGGTTGTTTTACATAAGTGGCTGAACTTTTGAGCATTCTTTTCTGAAAAAATACGGCATAATTTACGAGGGGCATTGTTAATTTAGTTTAACTTGATATAATGTCATTTTAACAGAACGGTTTTTGTAGACGTATCTGTTTTAAAAAACTAAAGTATTCTCGAATAGTTCAATTTAAATATTTTAAATAGTTTTTTCTTTATTCTTTGTATGGTTTTGCTTCCGACGACGGAAAGAGATAAACTTTCCGAAATGTTAAGCATTTTTTTGTTCATTAGGCAAATTTGGATAACTGTAAACCTAACTTCTGACAAGTAGTTTCCGTTTGGGATTAACGCAGAAGTGTTTACAAAAAGGAAAAAATAACTATTTTATTTTGTAGATTTTCTTGCTGTGACGAAATACCCATAGAGGATTTTTTGGAGAAAGGTTTATCTATTTATATTATTGGTCTGTGTGACTTTCTAATTGTTATAATCTACTTTAGACTTTCATTGGCCGATATTCTTATGCAGTTACGAGTGACTAATAATATCTATGACTCAATCATTGTCTTAGGTAATTGTTAGATTGTATAACTCTCTCTATATTTATTGTTCTGGTGACGCAGTGTAGAGTTAGCTTCTCTATTTGATAGCCCCGATGGAGGATTATATATGGATATTACACTTATTTTAATTATTCGTCTATAATGTGGTTTAAATATCAATTGACTCGAATATGTATAAAAAGTTATATCTTTAACAACTACATTTCTTCACTTAGGTTCACTTAGGCAAAATTATATAAGCAGGTTGAAATAATATTGTTGTAGAATATTCTGTCTGTGTTACATTTTGAAAAATAATTTTCAATAAATACATAAGTATTGTTTCATATTCCTTTTGTTATAAACATTTTTTCAGTTTTCATTGTTTAGTTTATCATTTTAATTATATTTACATATTTATTCTTGTAAAATGAATGACTCTGTATCTTTTCTTTATAAAACTATTATATTTTGTAATCAATTATTTTTATATTTTTTGGAATGATGATGTTTAGTAAATTCTCAGATTATTGCTTTTTTCAAAAAATATGATAAAATTCCTTTTATTAAAGTACTTCTAATAAGAATAAATCTATGTAGGGTTAGGTTGGTATTCAGGCTTAAACTGCTATTGTTTAAGAATTATAATATCAATCGAGGAATACAAATATTTATTTCTGTGTACTATTTTATTATTCATATTAACATTAAAAGAATGAAGATACATATATACATAAAATTTTCTATTTACAAACATTATTCAACTCAGTCAGTCGTCTTCAAGCTAAACAACGGCATAATTCAAGGGAGCTGCTATTCTTGCATAAGGAGCCAGTGGCGACGAATACGCTACAGGAACTGGAGCAGGAGCAGCGACGAAAGGAGCAGTTCTGGCAAAAGCAGGCTGGGCTACCAAAGGAGCAGCTCTGGCAAAAGCGGGCTGAGCTACCAAAGGAGCACTTGGAGCGAACAGAGGAGCAGCTACAGCTCTAGCAGAGAGAACAGGAGCTGGAGCTAGCGCTCTAGCAGCTACAAACGGGGCAGGTGCGGCTACAGCTCTGGCAGCTAAAACTGGGGCGGGTGCGGCTACAATAGGAGCTGCCGGAGCTACAGCTCTGGCAACTACAGGAGCTGCAACTGCTAGAGGTGCTTTCCTGACCACTGCGTTGAATCCGTTGATTGGATCGGCCACATAGTCTACGATTCTTCTGGTACCGTCAGGTTCGGCAACGCTGTACTGCCCTTGGACGATATCTCCGTTTCTGCTCTCGATCTGGCTCTTGCTGTCACCTGTCAGAGCGTCCTGCACATCGTAGGCGAAGGAGTATTGCGGATTGGGATCAAAGGTGGCATCGGAGACCTTGGCCAAGACCTGGGGGGCTGCTAGGACCGCTGGAGCGGGTATCACTCCCCCTCGGGCTAAGGTGGCAAGGGCTGCCAATACGAAAAACTAAAAAACACAATAGTATGGTATTTTTAAGTTAATGTAATTTAGAATCAAAGTTATATGTAATTTGACGAAATAAAAAAGAACTGAGACAATAAATAAAAAAATAACTAAAAAAAAATAAATAAATTAAAAAAAAAATAAATAAAAAAGAAGTCGAAAATAAAAAAGAAGAAATAAAATTTTACTAGTAATACCACAAAAAGTTAAACGATTTCCGATTTTTTTTTGAGCTCATAATATTTTAAATATCTACAGTCAAAAACAAGGGATAATTTTCTAAAAATATTCATGAGCAAGATAAATTTTCAGAATTTAATTTAATCTCACATGATATTCGGTAAAAAAATTTCACACCAAACTGTGTTTAAAATCATTTTAAAATTACATTTTTCACAAAACACATGGACACACAAAAGACACCTAAAAAGACGTATCAATAAAATTTTACAACAGGAAAATTGTAAATGGATATAATCATTTAAAATATTAAATACTAGACTTTTAACCAGTGTGTGAGATGATCAAAATTTTAAAATTCAAAATTGTTCAAGATTAAACATCATCAAAAAAGTCGTTTACCGCATATAGGCGTTATCCAGTAAATATGATTTCAGAGTTTTGCAAATGCGGGAAAGAATGAAAGCAACTTAATATCCAAAGGCAGATGATTGTGCATTTTTTTGGCATTGTACAGTATTGAGCTTTTAACTAGTTCTGAGTTCGAGGTTGGCAGATAAAGATCGTTCTCCGCATTCCTAAGTGGATAGTTATGAGGTCGCTTTTCCGGAATAGCAGATATGGGCTTGCGGATTAAGCTTCTTCGGATTATCCACAGGGGTTTTACCAGAACACTGTCTCTCCAATAAACACCTCTATGGATTGAGGCTAAGAAACAACGGCAAATGCATGTTCAGTGGGTAAAATGGAGAAATACCAGAACACTTCATCAGTAAGTGCACCGAGACGACAAACATTCATGCCATAAACTTTGGTATGACTGATATCGAAGATGGAAAACTAACCTCAGTAAAAACGTCTCAGATACTGGCTTTTGTCAAAGCCCCGAGACTGTATGATGACTTATAACTCATGAAAGGAAGACCAAATAGATATATAAGGTCGCTGTTTAAATTATTCCTCCGATTATTTGACTAGAATAAAAATCGAAACCAGAACAGAGTCCACGACATTAACGATGCGACTTTTATTAAAACAAATTATGCGACCGTGATATGGAAACCCGAAACAAAGCCCCATTTTTTTCCCAGAGTTCCGACACGACGGGAAAATGAATCAGAGAACGCGCTCTCACATTTTCCGGCGTTTTCACTTTTTCCTCGTTTTTTCTACTATTATTTTTTTATATCTCGCCGCTCTATTTCGGATTTTTCGCAAAGGAAAAAAGCAAATTTCCGATTTTGCATCGCCCGTTCTTTATGTAGATTTGCCCCGCAGTTTCGGTGATATTCCCGTTTGATGATTCCGATTTATAAGCAACTTTGAAACGAGATGCTGACAGAGAATTATCAAAGAATCTATTATTATTCATACATACCGGATTTTTTTCAAAAGTAACTCCCCCTATATCCTTTTTAATTTTTTCAGTCAAAAACACGGGGTTTGGTAGGTTATTGTATGACTTAAGAATCTATTACGCTGTACTGTTGGGGTCGAAGGAAATATATACAGGGTGGTCCGAACTGTTCCGGAAACCTCCGCAGCATATTCTACAGATAAAAGTAAGTAAAAAAGTTCGTATAAATGTATCTCTTAAAATGCTTAGTTTCGGAGATACAGGGTGTAGAAGTTTCATTTTTATTTAAATTTTTTCTAAATAATTTCTGAAGTAAGGTCAATATCTGGATGAAAATTGGTGTCTGGGGGTCTTGTGATACGAGAAATTTGATTTTGATGTCAAAATGACTGCTATTTGTAGGGGGCGCCACCTACATGCCTTTTGACTGTTTTAAAGAGTAATAACTTTTCGACGGTACCTGTATAAAACTACTAACTAAAAAAATATACATTTCTATGGCTTTTTACGTAAAAAATGTCTCTTGGTAAAAATCGCTACGAGCAACCGTTCTCAAGATATTTAAAATAGAAATAGTCAATACATGTCATTATTGACAAAAAATAAGCACACGTTGAATAGAGTTATTTGACTATAATAAACGTGTATTTTTTTAAATTAATTATAAATTTTTCTGCGAAAAAATGATGATTAGACAGTTTCTGTTGGACTTTTGGCATAAAATGATTTCAAATTTAAGATTTCAGACTAATAAAAAATGTAATATACCAAATACCCTGCGAATGCGATAAATTTTACATTGGTGAAACATCTAGACCCTTAAATGTTAGAATTAAAGAACATAAAGATTCTTTAAGAAAGGGAGATTTTCACAAATCTAAGATTTGTCAGCATTCATGGGACACAGGGCACAGAATAAATTTTAATAACGCCAAAATTATAATGAAAGAAGCGATAGCCTCTAAAAGAAAAATAAAAGAGGCTTTTTTAATTCAATCTAATAAAAATAAATGTATTGCTCATGCATCTGTAGATGTTAGTAATGTATGGCAATCGCTTTGATTTTAAAGAACATTACATAAATAAACATAACATACGTGAAATTTAAAAATAATCATACAGAAAGTTTGGGCTTTTTGGTTTTACCTTATTAAGTAATTATCAGGTAGTAATTGTTAATTTTGAAGTTTAACTTAATATAATGTCATTTTAACAGAACGTCAACGATTTCTTGTAGACGTATCTGTTTTAAAAAGTAAAGTGTTCTCGAATAGTTCAATTTAAATATTTTAAATAGTTTTTTTTCTTGATTCTTTATATTTTTTTGCTTCCGACGACGGAAAGAGTAAACTTTCCGAAACGTTAAGCATTTTTTTCTTTGTTAGGCAAATTTTTATTACTGTAAACACAACTTCTGACAAGCAGCATCCATTTAGGTTTAACGCAGAAGTGTTTACAAAAAATAACTATTTTATTTTGTAGATTTTTCTTGCAGTGCAGTGGCGAAAAACCCATAAGGATTTTTTTGGATAGATGAATCCGCCACATAGGTATAGACATTTTTTAATAACTATTTGGTCAACATGTTTAATTTGTCAATGATGACAGGTATTGATAATTTCAATTTTAAATATCTCGTGAACCATTACTCGTAGCGATTTTTACCAAGAGACCTTTTTTATGTAAAAAAAGTTGTACATTTACTCAGTAGTTTTATACAGGTATGGATGAAGAGTTATTACTCTTCAAACCAGTTAAAGCATATGTAGGTGGCGCCCTCTACAAGTAGGAGTCATATTGACGTGAAAATCAAATTTCTCATGTCCAAGAACTGCCAGACACCAATTTTCATCCAAATATTGACGTTGCTTCTTAAATTATTTGGAAAACATCGAAATAAAAATGAAACTTCTACACCCTGTATCTCCGAAATTAAGCATTTTAGGACATACATTTATATGAACTTTTTTACTTATTTTGGTCTGCAGAATATGCTGCCGAAGTTTCCGGAATACAATTCGGACCACCCTGTATATTATATTTCAGAATGCAGAGCTTCAGAATTTGCCATAAAATGGCGAGCAATTTGTTAAAAAAATCATATAAATTATATATCACTGTAATCACAAAACTTCAATCTATTTCCGTATTGTAAGGCAGTTTTAAATTATGCCTTTATTTTCGAGAAAATTTAGTCCAAATATAAAAAATATTGTCCATCAAAATCTTAAAAATAAAGAAGTTGTCTAAAATGTGCTACAAAACGGATCCTTTATCTTTAAATTCCTTCTTCATTTGGGTGTAAAAATGCCTAGCCAGTTTTACATAAAACGTTAAAAGCCGAACGCTTCTTTTTACTACTTTTTGGGACTAGTGAAATGGACTGTAAAATCAGGGATTGATTGATGTATTCAATTATTGCTGGTCACTTCTTGTTTTACCCCGGTAATGACTACAACTTTTAGTTCTTAAATGGTACTATCGCTATTATTTTACTGTATTTGATAGAAAATGATATTCTGAATACAGTGACATATCACGGGTCAGCATTCAGCTTGCGACAATACATATAAAGAAAATTTGACTCGAAATAACAAGTATGTGGTAACAAGTTATTTGTACATAATGTTATATGTTAACATTCCAAATCTTTTTTTTTATCCGAAAAAATAAAAAAAGTTATAGGGATGAGTTATTATTAAAAAATACCCGGTATAATTGAGATGAAGCATTTTTTTTTCGAATGCAACTGATATATAAAAAAGCGATAGAATATATGTTCGTGAACGTTGTACTGATACAAATGTTACATTAATATATTTGTGATGTAGGATCAATGAGAAGGGAAATACCGCATGATCGAAAAACAAGGCGTCAAAGACGGCTGGGAAATGACAATCGATGATACTTTTGGCGAGGTCAATCCCTAGACGTTATTTACTAAAAATTGACATAAAACTCATCAAAAATTAATATTAATTATAGAAAGATTAAAAAAAGACACACAGATATATTCCCAAAAAAATATTTTTTCTGGATTTTTTTTTAAACTATTTAGTTCATTTAAAAAATATTTTACTCAATATAAAATAAAATACAACCTTCGTAAGGCCAACTAGCAGTAAATGCCATTAAAAGTAAAGAAGTGTACGGGTCAACTAAATGAAGTCTAGGGCTTGACCTCGCCAAAATTATTATCAATTGCCATTCCCCAGCCTTCTTTGACGCCGTTTTTTTTGCGATTATATAGTACTTTAAGACATTAAAAATCACAATTAAAATAGAACCACTCGTATCCTTATATCCTTAACGATCCGATTGATAAGAAAAACACTCCGTTTAAACACTTTTTCGCACTATTTGTTAATTATTTTACTTCTTTTTTCAACCAAGCGCACTTCAAATTACGTACCTTGATTGCCATCGTTTAATTGTTTAGTTAATTTTGTACGAAGAACGACTGATAACAGGACGGTGTTGGGGTCACGCTTTTATACTTCGAACGATGCTACCGATAACTTTCCAAAAAGACCGACGTGACGCGGTTTTTGATTATCAAAAACCTCCAAAAAAATCCGACAAAATTTGTACCTATTACGATTTAGGTCTGCCTGAAAAATTATTGTTTTTTTATGCTACACATTTGAATGTAGTCAAAGTACATGTTAGTATATTATGTCTTACGAAGATTACAGTTGGGGGTTGGAACAGTGGGAAAAAATTCGACAGTCTTGGACATTTAAAGAAGATTGCCCAGTACATGTAAGATTTAAAGCATCTTCTGATGGAAAAGCACTCGAGGTAACATCGGTTCAAATGAAGCACAATCATGTCACTTCGAAGGTAAGTTTACAGATTAGTTGACATTTATTAGTATGTATAGTATGCTTTTAGAATTCTTGCTTGAACAGTATTTTATTCATAAAAGATATATTTTGTAGGTTCTACATGCACATAACCCTAGCCAAAGAAAACTTTCCAGTAACATGAAGGAAAGCGTCGAGGATTATTTGAATATGAAGGCCAATAGAAAAATGATGCAGCAAAAAGTTCAAGAAAGTACTGATAAAATTGTTACTTTACAAGATTTAACAAATATGAAGATATCCGATCAATCAAGAAAAGAAAACTTAGATGGCTGCTTAAATATACTTAAAGCTAAATACGGTAAACTAAAATATTCTATTATCGTCTTATTAGTCCCAATAAGTACGCTGTTTTCAGGTGCCAATGTAGCTGTTTTGCGAGACAAAGACAATAATTTCAGAGGACTTTTCATTCAAAGTCCAACCATGAAAAGTACAATGAAGGCTTTTCCCGAATTTCTTGCAGTAGATGCTACATATAAATTATGATGATGCAGTTGTATTTGAAAGTAAAAATCAGTCTTCTGTGGAACACTCTGAGGTTTGTGACGAGACGGACCTTCAAGACAGAAACAATATGAGTGAAGCGCTCATATTAGATAATAGAAATACATCAACTCTTGGTCGGTCACCTGTGGAAGCACCTGAGTTTTGTAACGAGCTGGTTATAGAGGAGGAAATGACACGAGATGAAGCGCATCAACTTTCCTATATTAGTGATTCAGTTTTAAATGAAGTCAACAAGCAGTCCCATCAAATAGTTGAAGTCAATGATTTCGCTTTGACAACAATTAAGATGCCTGTTTCAATAAAAAAACGAAGACGTCCAAAAGAACAGGACTTAACAGTCATAAGACTACCAAAGAAAAAGAAAAGATGTACTGTAGCATTTGCTAAACAATCCTATCATGAAAAACAAAATGTAATCCTGAATTGTTTCGTTAAGGATCGTAACATCGTTAGAGATATCACAAATGGGAAATTTCTTGAAACTGTAAACCTTAAAATGCTTTCCGAAGAAATATCACATGCCGTTCTTGATGAGGCTGTTGATATCCACATGATAAAGTAAGTCTAGCGATACCTAATAATTACCAAATTAATAACTAATAATGTAAATTACGATTTTTAGAAGTTTTTGCACCGAGAAAGCCTTTGAAAAATAACCAATCTAGTTGAGCAGAAACGACTTCAACAAAGTTGGTTTTGTTCTGTGTGCAGTGAAGACACGCAGAAAAATCATATGTCACTTTGTTGCAGTAGATGCCTTCTATGGAGACATATCCGTTGTGCAGGATTGACTAAGCGACCTAAATCAAAACTGTGGTTTTGCAGAGAATGCTATCGGTAGCATTATTATTTTTAAGTTGACGTAGTATTATTTTTAAGTTGTCAGTTTAAAATTTGCAATAAAAACATGAAAACCAATGCCATATATTACATTTTATCGCAAATACATTTTCAAACCTACAACGGCAACATATACGTCTACCTACAAATACACCGTTCCAAGTTAATTTTATTCAGAATAAGCCATGACGGATTTTGGACAACATTACATTACAAATTATTAAGTATTAATCAGTAGCCTACTCTGCATTAACGATTAACGGCATTTTAGTACGCGACCGTTCGAAGGCATTTTAACCAAAGCATTAAAAAGCCGTCAAGTGCGTCATATCAACGACACTCAACGACGCCATAGCTAGCAAAATAAAAACACTAACGCCATACCTATTAACGGCATTTCAGTAGGCTACCGTTTAACGGCAGTTTAAGTACAGCCTATAAAGAAGTTTATTATACTATTCATTTTATTTATTTTATCTGTTAGGCAATTTCGAGAGACTCTAGCTTAAAATCCAGATAAATCCTTGTTTCGCAATATAGCAGGCAGCAACATTTCATGTTTAATAATGGCAAATAAACATATATACGACGTAAAAGCAAACCTCCTGATGCAATTTCATTTGAATCCGGGACAGTTTGTCGACAATTTGTTCCTTAGTTTATACTCTCTACTGTTCTGATGAATTCAATTTTCAAACTCGTTGTTTTCTCGTACAGTTATTATTATTCTGGTTAGTAATTGGAAAATTGAGTTTGATTCTTAGTGTTTTTAAGCATCACTAGAGTTTATTTTCTAAAATGCATACTTCTGTTGTTGCTGGCTCATATCACAGAATATATATATACGCCGCGAAGGCTCCAAGGAGAACGATAATTTGTATTGAAATGAGATTTTGTGAGCATATGTAGGTTAATTCAGAGCACTTTTTAAAAATGTAGAGAGTTCTACAGGGTGTCCCCAAAAAAAGTTACATATCAAAGTTGTGTTTTTTGTAATGGAACACCCTATGTATTAATTGATTTTCGGATTCTGGGAGAAAAATAAAAATTAATTTTATAAGAGTAAATATATGACTAACATTTTCTAGAAATAAAGAACAATTTTTAAAACCCATTAGAACACCGAAGTTAAGCGACGTAAGGCGATACTGGTGGATGGACGGGTGACCGGTTCGAAACTCTGTGTTGTCAAAGAGTAGATAAGACAAGAGAGGACAGTTCGCGCGGTACCTTTCATGTTTGAGTGGTGAGGAGAGTGACCTCGTTTCGCTTGTCCCTTTAAATTTTCGTAATTTTTTCGCGGGAAATTTGAAATAGACTATTATTAAAACTTGCCTGTATAGATTATAAATAGTTACTGTATGGGTAAAGAAATAAATAGAAACGAAAAAAAAATGAGTTTTCTAAATATGATATAAAATAAATTATAATTAGAGACATATTTGTCGGGGAATAAAGATAATAAAAGCAATATTTTGTATATCGTTGGTAAACAAGATAAAGTGACCAAGTCGATTTGTAAGAAATGTTTTATTTACGTGTATTTTTTTACATATGGACTTGAACAAGTGTAAAATCACAGTGTGGAGTTTATGTACAAAAAAATAGAGTTGCTCAATTTTTTTTTAAATGTATTACAAGCTTCTAACCATGTCTTCGATCTATTGATTACATTTAGTTTAATAACATAATTATATAGTATATTTCTATAAAAATACTTTTCAGGATCCTTTGGAAAAGAGTGAAATATTATGTTTGTCGAAGAATAAGACCTATTTTTGCAGTCTCTGTAAGCACACACATTGCCACCATCTCGTCTTTTCCTGCTACTCGTGTCCTGTTCAGTATTCATATTTAACAATATTTACAAATTAGTACGCAACAAAAACGATACTAAAATTAATACTAACCTCATAGGTTAGATTCTTGTTGGATTAGATAAAATACGCCGTTGTCAGATTTTGAGATTTTATCTGTTTATCTTTGAAATCGATCAACTTATTAGTCATTCTGTTTCTTTGAAATTATCAGTACATTGCAAAAAAGAACCTAAACCAACCTAAACTAAAAATTTACATTTCAGTATTAACATACGTTACTTATATCCTTCTTATAATATTAATTTATTTTCAGAAAATCATGTTTATTTTTCAAAGAAATATACTTGGCAACAGACAAAATGGGACTTGATGGGACCTTTAAATTTTAATATATCTGCATCTCTCTCGCGAAATTCGACTTCTTTGTTCACTGTCGTCTCTTGTCTTATCTACTCTTTGGTATCGTGCTGTTGTTCAAGGGAAAAGTGTAAAATCTATTGATACACACTGCTCATTCACGCCGGTTCGAGGCCGGATGAGATCGGATATCTCGTGAGTAAGAGTTGATTTAGACACTTCCTAAGTCGGTAGGCCATTGACCATGATATGGCCGAGGACCGCGGTTCAGATTCCGCGTAAACAAAAGTAGGCCCCGTCCAGATTAGCCCTGGCAGCAAAAAGGAGACGTTAACTGAAATCTTTACTTTACTTTACTTTTACAATTTTTAAATTACAATAAAAGCTACCTAAATTAGAATTTACCCGGTATAGCCTAATATGTAGTTGAAGTAACTATTGTACTTCATCAAATTAAAACATGGTCCAAAAAGTTATACAGGGTGAGACAAAATTAATATTGAACATTGGTCACCTTTAAAGGCATGTTCCTCTTTTATTTTAAATGGAACACCCTGTATATTATTCCAATTTTCAATGGAGAATTCATGTCTCTTCAAAATTTTGTTAAGGTTTGGTTGTGGATTTTCCTAGATATTTTCATTTACATGATTTGATCTGAGTAGATCTTTATTATTTGATAAAATCTAGGTGGTTTGTGATGTGTCTGACGTTACTTCAACATAGCTATATAATTAGTCCAACTTTAACAACTAGTTATCATTTTGTGTCAGTTAAAACAAAAAAAAAATTTCAGAAATTTGCCGAAAATGCAAACTTATCCTACATCAGAAAGAGTTGATTCTATTAGTTGGTGAGTGCAGTGTGCATTTTAAATGCTCCTGATTTTAACTAGTCGGTTTTTTTATGGGAGATATATTAAATACAGTGTTTACAAAACTCGACAAACTATTGTCGACAACATGAGATAAATTATTGTAGCTTCTTTTCGAGGCAGAACTCCATATATGCTTTTCAAAATGAAAAGATCCTTTTGAAAAGACAATCATTTTATGCAGTTAACAGGAAAGA